CCGCCTCCCCTGTGCCCTCTCCCCCGACCCCCCGCCCCGAGTAGGGGTCGGAGTCTGGGCTTTGGCGCCTGGAGGTCTCGGGACGCGGGTTGGGGCTCCGGGACATCTCGGCCTTGGAAGGAAGGCGGTTGCGGGTCGGGCCGGGCACCTCCCCTTTCTTCTCCCTCCCTCTCTCGGGAGGGCACTGCCATCACCTGGGGAGCCGCCGCCTGTAAACCTTGGGGTCAGATGGGAAGCAGGCTCTGGAATGGGAAGACACGGTGTGCCTGAGTCTGCGATGAGACAGGATCGCTCTCCTCCCGGCACCCCAGGCTGGAGCCCCTGGAGTCGGGGGCGGGCTCGCTCTGCGGCCTGGGGACCCAGTGGGAGGAGGTGAAGGGCAAAGCCTGCTGGCCCCAGTTCTGATCCACACAATGGCTCCTCTGTCCTTGCCGCCTCTCCCCCTGCCCCCCTATCTCCCACTCCGCTCTGCCCCCTCATTCTTGTCATTCACCTCCCCCCTCCCAGGCTGCCTCTCTCAAGAGCTGTCTCTTCTCTGGGAACTCACCCATCAGCATCTCTGGCCCAAGAGACCGGGTTGGGCAAGAGCAAGATGCTCTTCCCCTTTTGACAGTGGGGAACCGAAACCCGAGAGGTGAGGGGCCGTGTCCAGGCTGCCAGACCAGTTGTCAGCAGCCCGAGCAGCTCAGCCAGGAGTTCTGGCCCGCAGCTCCGAGGCCGAGCTGCCCAGTCCTCCCTGATGCTGGAGTGGCCCTTGGCCTGTGGGTTGCTTTCCGCGGAGCTGCCCAGGACCTAGCTGCTCAGTCTCCCCGGGAAAGAGGGCGCACAGCCACTCCAGGCTTCATCCGTCTCCTGGTCCTGATGAAGCAACTGGCCGCTGTGCCCCATCACGGGCCGGGCATCAGTGCGATCTGACCTGATGGCCAGCCTAGAGCTTGGCGCGCAGGTAATACCGGTCTCACCGGTGAAAGAAACTGCCTTTCCATTTCCCAGCCACCGCCCCCCCACCCCATACCTGCTCCTGGGCAGCCTCCCAAGGGAGACACACCTGAGCACCCCCTTTTTTCTTCTCCTGTTAAAGAAAGCAGGCCAGCTCTCTGGAAGCTCAGAGCCAAGGCTGCCAGGTGGCAGATGATTGGCTTTTGTTAGGCGAGGATTCCTGCCCTCTCGCCCTTCCCCCTTGACCTCCCTTGACCTCCAGTCCTTTCTGCCCAGGAGGCCGCAAGGGCAAGGGAAGGGGCGCGGCCGCCCACAAACTCCTTTAAGACTTGGTTTCTAGCCTAAACCGGTTTGGCTCAGTGGATAGAGCATCAGCCTGCGGACTCAGGGGTCCCAGGTTCGATTCCGGTCAAGGGCATGTACCTTGGTTGTGGGCACATCCCCAGTGGGGAGTGTGCAGGAGGCAGCTGGTCGATGTTTCTTTCTCATCGATGTTTCTAACTCTCTATCTCTCTCCTTTCCTCTCTGTGAAAACCCAATAAAATATATTTAAAAAAAAAAAAAGACTTGGTTTCTAGGACAGCCCCAGAGGTGACTCACCACTCAGTGCTTCCCAGATGCTGGTGGCTGCTCTGGGCCGGGATGGTGGGGCGGCCGGGCCCTGGGGACTCTGAGCTGCTTGCAGAGTGCGTGGTGGGAGAGCTTAGCTCTACTCTTCGTTAACGTGGGTGTCCATGCTGAGGCTGGAACCCAGGTCTCTTCCCTGCCTGTGACCTCTGCCTCCCACAGGCCCGCATGCACCTCGCCCACCCGCCCTCACCTGCAGGCCAGCTCACCCTGGCAGGGTCGGGGCAGGTCCCGTCCCGCGCCCTCTCAGTGCGAAAGCCTTGAAGGCCGCCCGTTCCGCTCATTCCAGCTGCCTGCCCCGCATCTGTCTCAGACAGTTGTACCCAGATGATGACCAGGTACCACGAACGGTGCCTCCACCGGCGTTTACTGTCTCAGTCCGCAGGCCAGAGGTCTGAGATCCAGGTGTGGGCAGGTCGGTGCCTTCCGAGGCTGCGAGGGGCGTCTGCCCCGGGCCTCTCCCCGGCTTCTGGTGGTTGCCGGCAATCTTCGGGGTTCCGTGGCTGTCGATGCATCCCCTGATCTCTGCCTTCATCGTGTGGCCTTCTCCCTGCACGAGCTGGCTGAGATGTGTTCTTTAAGGCAGCGGTTCTCAACCTGTGGGTCGCGACCTTTGTGGCGGTTGAATGACCCTTTCACAGGGGTCGCCTAAGACCATCCTGCATATCAGATATTTACATGACGATTCCTAACAGTAGCAACATGACAGTTATGAAGTAGCAACGAAAATAATTTTATGGTTGGGTCACAACATGGGGAACTATATTTAAAGGGCCAGAAGGTTGAGAACCACTGTTTTAGGGTCTTCTGGGGCATGTCCTTTTTCAAATGCCAGTTACTCTGGGAGGGAAAACCAATAAGTTACGAGGTCTCTAGTGTTAACTAATGGACCACATTTTAATAAAAAAATATATAACAGCCCGGTCAGCGTGGCTCAGTGATTGAGCATCAACCTATGAATCAGGAGGTCATGGTTTGATTCCAACCTGGTCAGGGCACGTGCCCAGGTTGCTGGCTCGGTCCCCAGTGTGGAGCGTGCAGGACATCTCTATGCTACAGCCAATCGATGATTCTCATCATTGATGTTTCTATTTCTCCCTCTCCCTCTCTGAGATCAATAAAAATATGTTTTAAACATGTACATATATAGCAGTACTGAGTGTCTTTAAAAGGGGAGGGGGAGATGGTGTGTGCTGACATGGCTGTGGGGGCCTGCGAGCTGGTCCACCTCCCAGCATTGCCGTGTGCGCTGCTGGGGGCGGCGTGGGTCTGCTGGAGGCGGCATGGGTCTGCGCTGGCCCAGGCTTGCCCGCTGCTGTGCTGCGTCCGCTTCCACATCTCGCCTCCTTCCGAGGCTCGGGCCAGGTGTGGCTTCGGAGCTGGTAGGTTGCTCCCTGGCGCTTGGAAGAACAATCGTGAGTCTTGTGTTGGAGGACCAGGTTCCTGTTGTTGCAGAAAGTTAGGGTCCGACAGTCCTGAAGGCCAAGGTTAGAGCGGCCTCGCCTCTTCTCCATCCAAGGCTGCTGCATTCCTCTACCTCCCACGAGGCAGCTTAGCGACTGCAGATCTGTGTCCGGCTTCTTCTGCTCTCACATCTCAGACTCCCACCTCCCTGCCTCCCTCTCACAGGGCCCCCAAGATTACAGTGCCCCCCCCAAGAACCAGGGTAACCTCTCCGTCTCTAGAGCCTGACCTTCATCCCAGCTGCGA